TTCCCGAGGCCTTCCACAGTCTGGTCGTTGCGGCCTTTGTCTATCTTTTCTCGTCCAGGGACTCAGTCATTCTGTACAATAGCATCGCTGCCCTCGAGCGTTCCCGCCGATGGTGCTAGTAATATCAGCTGGCACCTCTTACCTGGCCATGTTGACGAGACTTGAAGCTTCAGGCATGGCTTGGATGGTGGGGAGGTCGTTCTGGACTCTGCCGTCGTACGAACCTTTATGATGGGCACTGTAGGGAAGCCTCTTTCCAGGAGCATACCGAGAATATAATACTTCGACACATGCGCAAGTTGAAGGAGTCGCTTGCTTGATGAAGACCGTCAAGACCATCAAGACCGTCACTATACCCGCTCAGGCGTGCATTACCGAGGAAGAAGTTGCTGGGAGATCCGAGTCCACGGGACCATCGAGATGACCTGAGTTTTCGCCACGGTTTTGAATCATCGAAGCAGATTGGTGTCAGGCCATGACGGGCGAAGAGAGAGCAGTGTTTGTTGGAAGTGTGCCCTAGTCAATCATCACAGATTGGCATATATGTATCTATGGGCAACAGAGTGATACTGTACCTACTACGGGTACCCAGACTGTACTCCGTACAGGGTACTAGTACCTGCTTCGGAAACTTGGAGAGGATACTCTGTACAGGATCAGCCTCCCTGCACAGTACTGTCCTGGCCTAGTGTCGTTCCTCTCGTCTCGCCTTGGGCGCCGTGGACGTCGGATTGTAACACAAACCACATCCCTCGTCCCCGCCTCGAGTCTAGGCACCTAGGCAACTGGCTTATCCTTACCGAAGCTATGGCAAGCAACCCTCAGACCGTGTGGTGTGCTGTGTTTACCCGAGGCTCTGACAAGGTTAGAACTCCAATCGAGGGGCTGCGGCGCCATGGCACGAGACGGTACCCCGCCTGCTCTCTACAGGATTCGGGGATGACGGAGGCAGCGAGCTAGGGAAGAGCGTTGACACGAGCTCTCCTGACCATGGGGGAATCGGAAGTTCGTGTCGCGGTCCCGTACACACAGCTATATATCTAGGGCCCGGGCTCCTCCCCAGGGTCTTCGGCCTCTGCAGATACAGTACAGTAATAGTATTCACACCTCGATTCTTCCAAGAACTCCATCGTCGACCATGGCGGACTATTCCAACCTTCCCGACTTCGACTCCCTGCCCAAGGTGGAGGGGATGCCCCAGGGCTGCGCGTGGGGTGTCTTCGACAAGGGCGGCAAGAAGGACCATCTCGGCTGCTTGAACCTGCTCACGCCCAAGGTGATCCAAGAGGCCTTCAAGGAGGCGCGCGACGGCGTGTCGGTGTCGCTCAACTGGCCGATCGGCGCCATCAAGAAGCCCGGCTTCGCGCGCAAGGGCCTGGAACACAAGGTGCTGTCGTTCAAGGAAGGGCCGTTCAACCTGCACGGCTTCGACGACGAACTCGAGTTCAACACGCAGTGCTCCTCGCAGTGGGACAGTCTGGTGCACTACGCCCACCAGCCCACGGGGCTGAGCTACAACGGCGTCAAACCCACCCGCGACCAACTCGTCCAGGAGTTCGGCAACGTCGACCTCGACAAGGCCCTCCCCACGCTGAACCACTGGCACGACCGGGGCGGGCTGGTCGGCCGCGGCGTCCTGCTCGACTACCGCGCCTACGCCCAGGCCAAGGGCATCACGTACGACTGCTTCTCCTCGCACGCCATCTCCGTGCAGGACCTCGAGGCCGTGGCCAAGCACCAGGGCACCGAGCTCCGCCCGGGCGACATCCTCATCGTGCGCTCGGGCTTCACCGAGGATCTCGGCGCCGCGACCGCCGAGGAGCAGGAACGCCTGCTCGGCACGCACAAGGCCGTCGGCGTCAAGGGCGTCAGGGAATCGGCAAAGTGGGTGTGGAACCACCATTTCGCGGCCGTCGCGGGCGACGCCATCGCCTTTGAGCAGCTGCCCCCGATCGTCGAGGACGAAGGGAACCGCGAAGGCGGCATTGCAGAGCTTGGTAAGTGATCGGGTATATGCCCGAAAGCACATTGGAAGCGCCCTCACAGCAGCCGAAGCAGGGACGGAAGCAGGTATGAGGGCATAGGCCACAATTAGAGACCATGGCGGCGACCCGCAAGCCACCTTTTCCAAGCATTTCCTCTCCCTTTCCCCCTTTGTCTTCACTCATCACTGTTTCGACCTCATCTTCTTCCTCGACTAACGCGTGTCATAGTCCTCCACCAGTACTTCCTCTCCCTCTTCGGCCTCCCCATCGGCGAACTCTGGGACCTCAAGGCCCTCGGTGAACACTGCAAGAAGATCGGCCGGTATTCGTTCCTGCTGACGAGCGTGCCGCTCAACGTTCCCGGCGGGATTGGGAGCCCGCCCAACGCTCTGGCCATCTTTTAGGTAGACGGTGGAGGGTAGGCGGTGGAGGGTAGGCGGTGCAGGGCAGGCGGACGTGAATGGTCAAGGGCGAACTGGGTGCACGGTGCAACGATGCCTGAGAATGGACGGCGAAATCTGCGGCGGCAAGATCCCGTATGGTGGCGTGCATGTACTTGACCGACTTGAAGAGTGTACACTCTGTTGTGGTGCCTGGGGGATGTCCTACCAGTACAGTCAGTACATGGCGTACGAAGCCTGCGAGGGAAGGTTGGCACTCTGTCGCGCTGATGAGGGTATTTGCGCCGTGACGAGAATGCAGTGGAGGATATCGTGACGCCGCCCACTTCGTCGAGATAGCGGATCCAACCCTGTTAGCCACTCTGCATATATGTACAAGTCACAATGCTCCCACCCGAGACCGGGAGAACGACTTCCCTGTTCAGGGCGTCCCTGCTGCATATATCTAAACCATGCCAGTCTTCCCGTCTATCTCTATGCTCATGTATACGGTGTTCGACTTCCTCCCCACGAGCATAACCCTCATGGCAGACGGCGTGTCTATCTCTCTCGACACAGTAACGGTATTTTCTTCCTACTGTCCATCCTCCCCATTGATCCCATAATCCCAGGACAGTCGGACACCTGCCGCGCCTCATGAAACGATACCCTTCCCCGACTTCCACCCGGTCAAGTCTCTTTTCATCCACAAGAGTCAGTCAAATTCCAACTTACGCAATAGCCCGCCTGCCCAACCGGGCCAACTCTCCTACGACACCCCCTCCACTCAGCCCCCTCATCTCGCCTACAAACCCATCTGTAATCTTCTGGTGCAAGATTCCACTTCGTGCAAAGTACTCCAGGTATCCTCTGCTTTCCTCTCTGCCTAGGCCCTTGAGTTCCATAAGATGTACGTTATTGTGAGCGGTGGCGGCGCCGGAAAGGGCGAGAACGCGCTCATCAGGCTTGCTGTAAGGTTTTGGAAGAGGGAAGTCTGGGTCAGTGGGCGCCATGTGCTGGTATTGGACGGCCCGCATTTGGGACAGGAGGAGTTCGAATGTTGGGTGCGCGGGGGTATTGCTTCCCGACGTGCTGAAAAGGACCATGCCACCGTTGACAAACGGGCTGGCAGCACCAGGGCTTGAGAACAAAAAATTGGTGAACCGCTTCACCAGTGTGAATTGATGGGCGTGGATGATTTTGTGCTCGCTGTTGCGGTACAGCGTCGGACCCATCCAGTGGTCTACCCCATCTGCTGCGACAAGCACGGGCGGTCGAGGGTTCACCCCTGGCACGCTCAGTTCTTTATACAGAGCTTGCCAGGCTGGCGAGGAGACGTGGAAGTCCGCCGCGCCTTGCTGGGCAAGGTCGTAAAGTGTGGCATTGCTCTTCAGCGAGAGGGGTTTAGCGTGACTGTGGTTGAGTTTGAGGGTTTTCAGGACGGATTCGTTAGAAGCCACGGCGCGTTGGAGGAGGAGCTGGGTGAGATGGGGTTGGGTGTACATCTGCTCCGTGTCGGTTTCTGCGTGTCGGAGAGGCGCATAGGAGGACGTGTTGTTGACGTGTTCTTGGGCTGCGGACGAGGGTCAAAACGTAGCTGGGGTCGAACAGAGCGATGGACTTACCCTCTGGTATGTTCAGGACAATCCACCGCTTCATATAGGCCATGCTCATCGCCTGCAACATCAGAATGCTCTTCCCACTCGCCCTCTCGCCAACAACCAGCCTCTTGACGAATTTGTTTGCACCATCCGCACTCTCGATGTCTTGCATTTCCTTCGCAACTTTGATCGTCTCCTGTCTAATCAACGTCGCCGGTCTCCTGAACAGACCCCAGTTCTGCGTCGTCTTGAATGCCCTCGAATCTCTCAATTGATCCAGCAAGCCACCATCCAGAGCCATCATCTGCCCGATGTGCTTTTCCTCGGCCACATTTTCCTTACTCCACGTCTCCATGTTAGACACGGGTATGGCATTGGTGTTGCTCAGAACGATCCGCCGCCTTTGAGCTCTCCGTTCTCCAACAGGAGGAAGCTTTGGCCTTTCGCGCGACTTCTTCTTGAGACGCGCGGATTGAGATTGGCGGGCGCGAGGTGCGCTTGAGCCCTGTTGCGTGGCTTTCTTCTTCAAGAGCGGAGACTTGTATTGTGCGGCGGTCGTGTGAAAGGAGGTTGTCTGCATCCACGTCGCGGCAACGATGGGCAGTGTTCTCCGAGGTGTGGTCGATATTCGGAGCCGCGAGAGACATTCGGAGCATATCGAGAGAGACATGATGCTTGCCGGCGGCTCCCAGCGGAGTCAAATGGTGGCTGCTGTATGCAAAAGCTCGCTGGTAAGGTGGAAGAGCAGCTTTCCACTTGAACTGCACAGAGACGAGAAAGTAAATCCGCGATGGGATATCCTCCTATTCGGGGCAGAGATTGATGCTGCCCTATTGTTCCTTTCCGCCCCGAGGAGGGAGACGAAACCTTCACCAAGGGCTTGCCTAAAAGCAGCACCCGTTAGCGGGGAAACCTCGGTACAGCCTCGTAATCTTTTTCGCGGAGAAGTTGAATCCTCGAGCAACTTTTCCCACACTTCTACGCCGCATATACTCAAGCATTCCAGAGCGCAAGACATAATGGTGGACACAGTAATGGCGGAGACATCGGTCTCAGTACAAATTCCCGTATCGACACTATCAACTAACACTTCTTCAAAGCCAGAGAGGTTGTACGTACTCCTCTTCTACGCTTCTTTCCTATCACAATCTACTTGATGAGAGAAATACTCACGCCTTTCCAAGACCGACGACAGTTGAAAAACCTAGCCCCTATACTTACGACCTCGGCTATCTCAACGCCGTCGACCCTAACCCTCTCCCAACAACAAGCAGCCTCCTCAGCCAGCCCATTGCTCAACGCAACGAGACCCTGAAAGCCATAGCCCGCGATGGCGCCCAATGCCTCCTCAACACCCTCCTAACTACCTGCCCCATCAACTCCACTCCTGATGGGCTGATCATGACTCTTCCCGCACCGCAGAACTACCTCCCGAGGTGGAAGCCGCTGCCGAAACCTAAAGCGCCCACGAAATGGGAACTTTTCGCCCGCAAGAAGGGGATCGGGAAGTATGGCGGAAGTCTCAAGGGAGGCGCCGCACAGGAAGAGAGACGAAAGAATCTGGTCTATGACGAGGAGAGCGGCGAGTGGGTCAAGAAATGGGGCTATAAGGGTGCGAACAAGAAGGACGAGAGTCAGTGGCTTGTCGAGCTCGATGATCAGAAAATAAGGACGGAGAAGGAGGGCGCTGATGCAGGGAAGAATGTGAGAATGGAGGGACGGAGGGAGCGAAAAGAGAGGATCAAGAGGCAGGAGCGGCGACAACGGGGCAACGAGAGGAGGATGAGGAAGGGGGGCGGTTGAGACGGACGAGCGAGTGCTTGAATGAGCAAGAAATGAACCATCTTATGAGTTGCCAGTTTGGCTGGTGGGGCCTCGTCTGGCTGTATGCTGAAGCATTGCATTTTACAGCTGCCAATTCCGCTCCCACGTTACCTTCTGCTGCGTGCATGGTGACAGAAGAGAACGAGGGCGGCGGAGTGACCCTGGCAGAGATGTCAGGAACAGATACATGCCTGAGTTCGCCCAGTACACCCTCACACCTCATCCCACCAATACCAGGATCAGCCAGGATCGATGTGAAACGCGGAGGGAAAGCCTCGGGGCTACCACATGAGGGTTCAAAGCGAGAAATCCGGGCATGCATGCCCACAGGTATTATTGCAGACCACTGCTGCCCGTGAACTCGGGTAATTCAAACTCATCAAGGCTCAGATTCCAATCTCTTTATCTTTCCAATCTCGTTCAGTTCAGTCAAGGCTTTGCAAAACGTCAACTTCTTAAACCAACCTAATCATACAACAAGAGGGTTCCACCAGAGCTGCCCTCTTTCCTTGTTCTCGGCCGCTTCATATCCCGCCGGCTCGACTCCTCATGAAAGCTCATAGCCAACTGGCGGCCAAAGCATAGGCCGCGTACGATGCAAGAACAAACATCAATGCTGAACCCCCGAAAATGCATCTAGATAATACATGATATCTCCCGGAGCCCAAAATCACTCCTTCGTCAAGCCCGACAGGCTTATCCAAGCATGCCATGCAACAGGTAAATCAAATGCACTGGGTTGCTTTCCCTTCAAACCAGACGCAGAATAGTGTTGTAGCAAAGAGTCTCACATCCTGATAGGAGAAAGCCCAGTCAGTTCTGGCAACTTCTGGTCAAGTGACAGTTTTGGAGGTTCTGGTGTGACAATCCGATGTGGCACAGCAGGTACCGACTGGCTTGGTCCATGCCCGCTGTTAGATCGATCCCTGGTATTTCCACCTTGCGAAAGACTCCTTTGTTTGGTCTTGGGCGCCATGGACTTGCGGTGTGCAGCGGCATCCGCACTCCGAGGAGGGTTCGGCTCGGGTGAAGCTGCTTGAGTAGCTTGAGCTGGTTGTTGCTGGCTGCTCCCACTGGAAGAAAGGGCCCTCTCGTCGAGACCGAGGTCTTCGCTCTCATTGACTGAACCTTCTCGTTCATACCGGTACTCTTCTTCCAAGTATTCTTTCTCGGTCCAGCAACCTTGCCAGCAGTTCTTCCAGTCCATAACCAGGAACTGGAAACAGAAGGCGTCGATCTTCAGACAGGGTTGGAAGCAGATACACAGGTTGCGGTAATCCATCTTGTTCTTGTCAGCATAGCTGTTCAAGAGGCTGAGATGACACGTGATGGCGAAGAGGAGGTAGTAGTTGAAGGGCGGTAACCGCGACAACTCGTCTCGCAGCAACTGAGGCGCTGATGTCGCACCAGCGCATTGTGTGGCCACTTTGTTCTGCACGGCTTTCGGAAGAATCTCGTCAGGCAGCTCTCGCAACCATGATTTGAACATCGAGCCGATCGTGTTGATATCATACAGCTCGGGCTCGTCAAACAAATTGATATCGTACTCGGTGTCAAAGCGCCGCTGCCAGTGTTTCACATCTCTGCCGCTACCGGGTATCCGATACAGGCCTTCCTCCTCTGCACCGTTCATGTTCAAATAGCTAGATAACGATGTCAGCGAGGATCTCGAATGTCGAGGCAACAGGAACTTACTCAATGCAGCGCCAGGGCAATGCTGGCATCCAAAACTCTGTCTTGTCCTTCGATACCTCGAGACGCCTTGCAATTCTCGTTTTCCGGGTTTGCTTGACGAGTGGCAGGTTGATTGTCGTACATACGTAATTGTCATCCGTGACCGTTGGCGTCTCGCGTTCATTGCTACTTCCGCTTCGTGTAATCTTGCCAAAGAAGCCTTTTCCGGCCTTGCCAATGCGATCGCCCACGCCTTTGCCTGTTTGCCCGATGTTGGAGAGGATTTGTAGCGTCGAGCCCTCTCGAAACGAGTGCGACATGGGTAGATTGCCTGTCTGCCTTTCTTTTCTCGCTGACAGGAAATCGTCGCGCGTTTGTCGATCTGCTGACCGGTTACGAGTTGTTGCCCCAGCTTCCGTCCCAAAGGCTCTATCTCGATGGTCAAACTTGATGGGCGCGGTCTTTGGCGATGTGTCGTCGAGCCGGTCTATGCCTGGACTAGTCGTATCGAGCTGAAGATGACTTGGCGGTGGATTCTTCTGTTTCGGCGGCAAGTCCTCCATCCTTACGGTCTTGGTCCTTGCGAGGATACCTCCAAATCTCGGCTTGGGCTTCTTGCCTGCTGCAACAGGTTCTGCTGGCGGCTGAGCCAGCGTTGGTTCCGATATGGTTGGCGGATTGTTTGCGTTTATTGTTCCATTGCTTGATCCGCCTTTCGGTAGCTCTGGCGTTGAACCTTGCTTCTTCACTGAATGAAGAGATCGATCTTTTGAACTGGCGCGACTCCTTCCACTTGGTCTTTCTCCGCCTTCTGGGATGCTTGTTTCTGAGGCATGCAGTTTATGCGACGATTTTGACGCCATGAGGTTGGAGAAGAAGCCCTTGGACGGGTCTCGGGCGTGTTTTGGAGACTGAGGAACGGGCGAAGGAGGGAGTTCAGGCATGGCTGTTATCTTTGGCGAACTTGCCCCTGGCTGCGCTCCATCCTGAGAAGCAGACGCCTGGTGCGACATGAAAGACTGGGGAGGGCCTTGCAGAAAGGGCGACGTCGGTGCTGATCTTGGGGTGTGTGGAGTATGGGGAGAGCCCGTCGAGCGAGGGCTCAGTGTCGCCGGTGTTAAACCATTGAGGTCATCATTGTTGTTAGGAGCCAAGTTGAGTTGTGGTAAAGCCGAGGCTTTTGGCATGTCTGCAAACAAGCTGCTTGAAATGTCATCAACAGGGCCGACTGCGAGTAGCCGGCCGTCCTTTCACGTTGGACAGGGCTTTGGCGTGTGCCAGATCACCGGGACCTAGATATCCTCCGTCGGGTGTATTGCCTGTCTGTACCACCTCCTTTGTAGTGACAGAAATAGTACCCAGTCTGATCAAAGTATATCCGAAAGTGTCGGGTGATGATGGCTCACACGAGGACAGGATGATGTTTTGGTGTGATGATGACCTCCCGGTTGTCGTTCCAAGCGCAATTGGTGCTCGAGGTATATCCCAAATGATATGAGTGACGGCCGCAGATGTGGGCGATCGGTCTCACGTGGGTTCTGTGCATCAAATCGTCCGTGTCGACCAGTGGCTTATACCAGAAAGCCTGGTGTGATTCGGGTCGGTAGGGGAGGTTGTTCGTGGGGAACCGTGAGCGGGCACGCCGTCAAGGCGCAGGTGAATGCGTTGGCAAAATCGATATATGGAATCCCTGATCAAACAGCTTCCGTTGCCGGATGTGCGTATGTTACAAATAGGTAGTCGGGCTCGCTGAGTGGCTTGCGAGGACAGCGGCTAACAAAGGAGGAGTTTGGCAGACCGAAGGAGCGACTGAACTGAAGGGTAAGGTCGAGCCACGCGGCACGTTCTGGGTCAAAGTGCTGAGGCCGACACCCATATACTACAAGGACGACCAAACTGGTCCCGAGGGAGGGTTGGATTGCTGTAAGGGTATAAGTGCGCTGTTGGTGTGCGGTTTGGAAAGGCCTGCTGCGTGAGTGGTGTGGATAATGGGGTGCAGCCAAAAGTTACTGCAAGGACAGTCGAGCCCGTAGTGGTGGAACGGCACAAAGCGGTGAGGAAGGAATGAGGGGACCTGCCAGGAACAAGACCGGAGCCAAGGGCGTCGTGGGTGTCTGAAAAGTAGCCTGCGCGCTACTGAAAATGCCTGCTTTCTTCTTCGAGGCCGCCTGGCGTCGCAGCAGGCGAAATCCTTAGGGCACAGCCTAGACGCAGGTCGCTAGACAGATGGAGACGGTGCGCGTCAAGGTGCGCTGCACGAGCCTTGAAGCATCAAGTCCTCATTTCAGAAGAGTGGCATGAGATGCTTTTCCTAGTCCACTGCCACTGCATGCAGTTCTCGGTACTACAGTCAAGGCAGTGCGCCTATAATGCAAGAAAGTGGGGGGCGAAGTCGTAAGTTGTGCATGAAAATGTGGATAAAGCACAAACTGAAAGCAGCTGACGCAGACCCCTGTAGCAGGCATTGGGGCCAGGAATTAGTTGATCCTTGAGACGGCGTGGGCGATTGCGACAGCTATGTTCAAACACGGAGATCATCTGGTGAAGCACGACTCGCTTCGAGGGCCCGCGTGGTGCCGATACATTGGTGACCGTCTCCTACCTTATTGGGTTCGTTGCAACCTTTCTCACAGCACAACCAAAGACATGGCGCTGGGTGATCATACGAGCTCTGGACGCTGTGGGCGACGAGTGTGTGTCACTGCGGCAGAGGGTGATAGCCAGGGGCAGAGACATGCAGGCGGCTGCACCCGGAGGGCCAGAGAAACAGCAGATGGAATAGGCAAAGATTGGAAGCTAAACATGCAGGACAAAGAGAAAATCGAGGAGAGGGCTTGAGATGCGCAAGATTAAAGATCCAGTCTAACCTCGAATAGACGAACACGAATGGGCACTGTTTCTTCCTGGAGTCGAGCCCGACCGGATCTTCAATATCTCAGGCAATTAATTAAACTCAATGCTGCAGCATGACACCTTGTTACGTGCATGGGAGACGTTAGACTAATTGATGTAGCCTGACGACGTCGTGAGTTGCTGGTCACTGGTTAGGCTCCCGGGCCTTGAGATGCCAAGCAAGTAGCAGACACATTTCAGAGTTTCCTGAGGACGGTGACACACTCCCCCACAAAACTTGCTTGACCTCGATCATCAACAGCGACCGATTCTCTCCCTCGAAATCTCACCGTACTGGCGTAGAGTCTGCGCGACTACCGTCGGCTCACTCAATGTCTCTTGTGGCGGGACCCGGAATTGGAGGATCGCTCTCCGCGTCCGAAACGCCCGTGGAAGAGCTCAGGCTGGCTGTCGACAAGCATGTGAAATATATCCAGGCTTTGGATACTGTGCGTCCATGTGAGTAGCTTGTCGCCGCAGGATATTGATGATTAGCCAGCGCAAAGATGAGCTCGATTACTGGTTAACCGAACACCTGAGATTGAACGGCGTTTACTGGGGCCTGACTGCACTTCATCTTCTCCGTCATCCAGATGTCCTGCCCCGTGACAAAACCCTGGAATTTGTCTTCGCTTGTCAGAACTCAGACGGCGGCTTCGGCGCTGCTCCCGGTCATGACTCTCACATGCTGTATACCGTCAGTGCCGTCCAGATACTGGCGACAGTTGACGGGCTGAAAGATTTGGAGAGGCGGGAAAAAGGTGGACAGGAGCGAATTGCCAAATGCAAGTTCTTCGGTGTCCAGAATTGCAAGGACGACCACTAACACGCATTGCTGCAGTCATTGCCAGCCTGCAAAACACTGAAACTGGCACCTTCGCCGGCGATGAGTGGGGAGAGACCGACACTCGATTCCTTTACGGGGCTTTTAATGCCCTCTCGATTCTCAACATGATGCATCTGGTCGATGTCAACAAGGCAGTCTCTTACATTCAAGCCTGCGCCAATTTCGACGGGGGCTTCGGAAGGTCGCCGGGGGAAGAATCTCATTCCGGTCAGATATTCACCTGCGTGGGAGCTTTGACAATTGCCCGAAGACTTGACATCGTGGATCACGAGCGGCTGGCCGCTTGGCTGAGCGAAAGACAGCTCCCGAATGGCGGTCTGAATGGCCGACCTGAAAAACTTGAAGATGTCTGCTACAGTTGGTGGGTGCTGAGCAGTATCGCCATGTTAGGGAAACTCCATTGGATTGACGCCTCTAAATTGATCACGTTTATCCTGAGCTGCCAGGATGCCGACCACGGAGGAATTGCAGACAGACCTGGCGACATGGTGGACGTCTTCCACACACTGTTTGGCATCGCAGGCTTGAGTCTCTTAGGTTATCCAAGCCTCGCCGAAGTCGACCCTGTCTAGTAAGTGTGAGAGATGGTTCTTTGGAAGGTTGACTAATACGTTGCTCTAGCTGCATGCCAAAGACCGTCACTCGAGCGTTGGCGTACTGGCAGTCTTGATCATGCCAGCGCCACAGCCTACCTCTCGCGATCTAATAACCCACTTGACTTTGCCCGTGAGAGCTGGGATACAATGCGAGAGAAGAGAAATGTCCACCACAGTCTATTTCCGCTTCATCACACTACTATCCTCGCTTCAGAGGGAGTATAGGCTTGGGGGTACATTCAAGTGAGAAGAAAGGTCAGGACCGCAGATGCCTACTCATCCAGAAGTCGTTCAATGCTGCTTTTGGTAGAGGGGCTAGCGTGTGCTGCCTCTCTTCTCGAGTCAATACACCTCAGTTGACGACCGCGTTGATGAAGAGTCCCGCCTTCCTAACTGGTGTCCCAATGTCGAGGTGGGTAGTTGGTCGGACTTTCCTGTGTCATATTTGGCTGCGTCCTTCTCTCACTTTAAATTTATCAATGTGACTATTGCCCAGCCATTTTTTCTCGTTGGCCACTTCTCTCCTTTGGTCGGGCTTCCGTCCTCTCTTTCTTACTCGTCGTCATCCTGCTTGGACCGCAGGAGGAAGACGCTTTGATCTGCGCCTTGTGCAGTCTTTGAGCTTTCCCAGATTTTCAGTCTTCGTTCGGATCTACATTTGCTGTTTCCGTGTGTTTAGAGTCCAGCCACTCACGCATCTCAACGGTGCCGTCATGGCCCAGGACTTGCTCAATTGTAGCATCTGTCCCAAACAGCCCTCCTTCAGTGATACTTCCCATTTGCTCACCCATGTCAGTTCCAAGGGTCACCTCTCCGAATGGCACAAACTCCAAGTCCGAAGCTTTCAGGACCTTGCCGCTGCTGTGGCTCTGGCCAATTACAACCAATGGTGCCAACAACATGACATTGACCGATTGCTGTCCGAGAGAATGCAAATGAAAGAGGACAAGCAAGCCAAAAAGAGAAGGATCGCCACTACACGAAATACTTCTGCCCCTAAACTGGTTCCTATCGACCATGAGCTGCTCGATCCACCTATGCCTCATAAAAGAACAGCGAAACCGAAGAAGCAGAACCAGAAGAAAGGGACCCGTGGCAGACAGCACCGGGAGGATGAGGACGGGAGTGACTTGGATTTCAGCCCTGTCAGACGTTCTAGGTGAATACCTCACCTTAGCTATCTCTCCGGCTGCTTACAAAGTGTTCTTAGGCGCAAAATACAGCGACCCCAGATCTGCTCTCCGCGCCAGCAGTCCGAAGTCTCTAACGGAGCATATCCTTCTCTCGACGACTACCCAGCTGGGGACAATCACCCGGTTCCTCTGCAGGTTCTTGCCACACCCGAGCATATGAAGCTCAAGGGCATTGTCTGGCCTGGTATGGATCTCTTCGATGCAGCCACGCAGGAGATGCAGCAGAAGAGAAACCAGAAGAAAGACGCATCTGTTCTGAGACGGATGGAGAGACTCGCCGGATTGGTTGAGCCTACCGAGGTCGTCTACTCTCCGAATGGTGACAACGTGTTGAAGGCAAGGCACATTGATGACCTGGAAGATGCAAGCAGCCTTGTTGAGGGCGAAACTCCTGTTCCCAGGGTAGAACAACCTCGACCACGTAAGAGGAAGCCACTGGCCGAGACAGACGCCAACGTCCCACGACTCATGAAACGCAAAGTCAAAGCCAGTGCTCTCAATGAATACGACGATCTTCCCTTTGCCCATGGACTTCCACCTCTTCCACACCTGCCGAGCTCTTCTACTGGAGAGTTATACGGTGCGAGCTGTCGCTTCTTTCCAATAGAAGACGGGGATATCAAGCCTTCCATCGAATCCCTTGCTCCTCGCAAACGACCACCGCCCCAGTTCGAGATCTTCACTGATGGAAGTCCAAGGCACCACCTGACTGCTGTCATGAATGGAACGAGGAACCCACTTCAGCTTGGGCCTCGGGTGTATGGCAATGGTCCTTTGCAACAACTGCCAAAGGTCTCCGCAGCCTGGTTGCAGCCACAATACCAGTCAGCCTTACAATATACGGATCCTTATACAACCTACCGACCAGTAGGTCGTCAGTATCAGACTCTCTACGAACCGAGCATCACCAACGAGAACGATCCTCCGATGGCTGAAACCCATTTCGCCTTTCGAGGCTCAGCTGCAAATCCTTTGGCATGGAAATCTCCGATTCGGCCAGCGATCGTATCTGGGTTGTCTCCATCAGATTCGCCGTTTGGCAGCTTTTTTGGCATCTTCCCTGGTGGCTCTCCTGGTGACGACCCCTTTATGAGCACCAAAAATCCTCTGGCCGGAGCACTAGTTCACTTCGACGACGAGAAGAATCCTCTGACATCCAAAGGCCAATCCGACTCGCCATCCGATACAGGCTTGTCTAATGAGACCGAAGTCTGAAACCGACCAGATCGAGACAATGACATCTCAACGCTAGAGGAAAAGGGTTGGAGCAGAATCAGCACAGATTATTACGGTCAATGGCCCAATACCACTGAGAGAAAGCAGAATATACCGGGCATAGGTACGACCGACTGTCGCACGCTCTTTCCTTGGAAGCTATACCCGATCTCATGTATTAGTTGCGCTCGGGTATACACCATGTCGTTGGAGCTCAGAGGATGGTGGCATGGGAGATGGGTGGCCCGTGGTAATATTGGAGGGCAATTCACTTTTGAACGAAGCATTGATTCGATGTGCACATGGAAAGATAGACATGGGGTAAATCAGGAGATCCCGGAAGCAGTTAGTAGACGTACCGTGTCGACTAGTATCAATAGTTCTATACATTGTCAACGTGCCAGATTCCCCAGTGGGGCGTTGCATACGTGCTACAGGCTTCTCTCCTGCAACCGCCTTCTTATCTCGGTACTACTGATCTTGCTGTCAAAAGTTTCCCTTTGCCGCACCGTTTCTTCCTCATCTTCCAAGCCCACACCGGCGTCCAGAATCCCCACCTCGAACACCTCGAGCTCTTTCCATCCTTTCTCCTTTCTTTTGTCGTTGACAGCCTTGCCACCGGCTCGTGTCTCGGCCGAGATGACAAGGGCGGAGATATCGGGATCTGTGATGGTGGGACCAAAGGGGTCAGATATTTGGGTATAGTTGACGGTTATACTCTCTTCCACACCGGAGCTCGACTGAGGAGATTTGTATGTCATGCGTACGACCTTGCCGTTGGGCCCCGGCTTGTCGATATACTCTGTCGTTCTCAGCCCATTCGCCCCTGAATTGGGACTCGTCTTCCTTGGGTAAAACGCCAGAATCGAGTCGACAAATTCGGCCGCACGTTCCTGCCTCGCTGACCAGGATTCGACATGCGAGCCGTATTTCTTGTTCACGAGTAATTCGTCGCCTGTTATGCCGACGGTTATCAGGCGGGAGGCTGTGCCGGGGTCCGCTGTGAGGATCGTGCCCGTTAGGAGGAGTTTGTGCCCGATGTGTAAGTGGTCGAATGTGCCTCCTACCGCAACGGAGGCGTGAGACGTCACAGAAGCAACTCCCTCGCTCGTCGAAAGAGGCTGTGAAGCACTGGCAGAGGACGAAACTATTGCCGGTCCGCTTGGCAATCTCACAGAAGGCGGAGGCTCGTCCTTCACTTTGCTTCCCCACGTGGTGAGAAACTGCTTGAGATGAGCTTCCCCAGTCTCGCCTTCGACGGAGTAGATCGTCTTGTAACTCCGGTCTGAGAGGACGAACGTGTCGATGTCCACGATCGGCCCGGAAAGGGGTTGCTTGCCAACGAGCTTCTGGGGAATCCTGTCCACCCGGGGTTCAAGGATGAAAACCCGGATGTCGATGCCACCGGGGAAATCGAGGTCGACATTCTGCTGAGAAGCGACGGAGGTGATTAGACTGTATGCTTGCTTCAGCAGGTTCTGGATAGGGACGAATATGGCGGAGCGGCACGTATTTGTCGAAAGCGGATAAGTAGCGGACAAGACGAGGCCGACGTCCAGGCGGGTGACAGAGGTCTTGTCCTGGGGACGTAGTCTGGGAAGGAGGGATTCAAATGTGCTTTTGTAGGAGGATTTGAATGAGGAGGGGCTTGACACGAGGTCTAGGGCTGGTAGTAGGAGGAGCGAGGTCGCGTCCGCCATTGCTCTGAGTGCGTCTGACACGGTGGCCGCGACTCTGGATGGTTGTTGAGTATGTGGTGAGGATGTGTTGAGTATGTCGTGCTGTGCTCGTTGGAGCAATCAATCCATGGTCATCTATCTGTGGTTCATGATTGTTGTATGTAATTCGAACCACGTTCACCCGTCTCCAATAATGATACCGAGGTGCGAACAGGCCGAAGTGGCATGCCACCCAATAAGCGCCAGGCAGCCTCTGGTGGCCGCCCAGCCTCCAGCTCCGCGCCTAGTGGCTGACACTTGGGGAGCCCGAAGCCCCGAAGCAGGCGTGGCAGGGCCGACCCTGACAGACAACACTGGCACCGCTAATTAATTATGTGCCAGCCTCGAAACCTTGTATGCAGAGCGCCGATGAAAGATTTGAGTGGCCAGGCTGGATTCTGCTAACATGCCATTCCACATCCCTCACCATCACCATACCGTCTCCGATCCTCAGTATAACCACGACAACCTGTACAGCACTGCGAACGCCATCTACTCCGCTGGCCAGACTCTGAGCTCCGTCGGCGCCCCGATCCCTCAATACCTCGACAACAACCCAAACACGCCCACCACGGCGCCCGACGCCAGATCCTACCTCCCTCAATCCCAACCGAACGCGAACGGTAATGGCACCGTGATTCCATATCGCCCTGGTCCTGCTCCGTCTGCCTACCAGAGTGTACAAGAGGGCCAGCCCGGCCACTACCAGCCAGGGCTGAGGCGGTCCCTGACGGTTGGGCGCCAACAGGCCGACGAACTGCACCTGAACCAGCAAGGCAGTGCGATGAGCGACGTCCACCACTATGGCGCCCCGCCCGCATACGCCGGGGATGGATTGTCAATAAAGATCGAGCCGTCGACACCTCAGCATCCCCCCAGCGCCGCCAGCCAGCCCATTCCCGGCACCTTACAACCAGGCAGTCTGGCGAGCAGACCAGCGCCCTTGGGAGCCAGCGGCACGGCCCCGTCTTTACCTACCTTACCCCAGATAGCGACACAGTTACAGCAGCCTTCTCTATCCGCGAGACCGATGACCTTGAACCATACCCATTCGTACTCGAGATCCAGCCCCGGCGCCATGGATCAGCCCAAGTACAAGCCCTTTTCGAATACGCCAGAACAGTCGAAATTCCCGTCGGCTCCAAACTCATACATGCCACAAACTCCTCTCGGACCTTCTTCATATTCTCCCCTGGGCCTTGCAGACATTAGACAGAGGACGGACACCACCTTTTCAGACACGCCTTTCAGTCCCGGCGTGACCCAGGAGAGTGAGGACTCACCATATCCCCAGAATAGCAATTACAACGCCCCTTGGCCTATATATGCCGTGGACTGGTGCAAGTGGCCGCCGCGGTCAGGGAGTGGGTCATCCGGAAAGGTGGCTATCGGAAGTTATCTGGAGGACAACCACAATTATGTGAGTCGCGGTGGAGAGCGCGAATGTCAAAAGATGTGGCTGACGAGATTCAGATACAAATACTAGACACACAGAGGACACAGACAGACCCAGATAACCCGCATGGTGAACGAGGATTGGAGTTCATCAAAACAGCAGAAGCAACCCATGCATATCCTGTGACAAGGATCCTGTGGGAGCCTCCGTCGTCGAACAAGCAGACCACCGACCTGCTTGCAACTTCTGGCGACCACCTGCGGCTATGGTCACTACCGAACGACCAGCACTCATACCAGACGAATTCAATCACGCGGTCTGCGAGCACAAAAACGCCGCCGTTACAGAAGTTATCTCCGCTCGCTTTGCTGTCAAATTCAAAGTCTCCCGAACACACCGCGCCGATCACGTCCCTGGATTGGAATGTTGTTCAACCATCTCTCATCATTACTTCATCGATAGACACCACATGCACAATCTGGGACATTCCCACTCTGACGGCCAAGACTCAGCTCATCGCTCATGACAAGGAGGTGTACGATGTGCGATTCTGCGCAAACAGCGTTGATGTCTTTGTCTCGTGTGGTGCGGACGGTAGTGTGAGGATGTTCGACCTGCGAAGTCTCGAGCACAGCACGATCATTTACGAGCCTTCGGAGAAGCAACAACAGCAGGAGAAGAACTGTAAGTCCTCATCCCACCCCATTTTCCTGTTCAATATGCTCACGTTGTACAGCTCAACTCGAGGCCCTCTCATCCTCTCCAACGCGCGCCTCGGGGTCCGGTGGTCCCGCAGCCCTCCCATTTCCTCCTCCTCTCCTTCGCATCGCTGCTTCACCCCACGACGCACACCTTCTTGCCACATTCAGCCAAGACTCGCCTGTAATCCGAGTCCTTGACGTCCGCCAACCTGGGCAAGCACTCCTCGAACTCAAGGGTCACGGCGCGTCGGTGAATTGCATTGATTGGAGCAACACTCAGAGAGGGGTGCTTGCGTCTGGCGCGGATGACTGTTGTGTGTTGCTGTGGGATTTGATGGGAAGCAGTGCCAGTACGGCTGCCCCCGGTGGCGGCGCTGGACAAGGTGCCACTGCCGGACAGGTGCAGGGTCAGGGTCAGGGTCAGGGTCAGGGTCAGGGTCAGGGTCAGGGCCAGGGTCAGGGCCAGGAACGAGGGCCGAGTGCCGTGTGGGAGTGTAAGTTTGAGGTTAGCAATTTGAGTTGGGCGCCCACGATGGGGACATTGGGAGTCTGTGGTGGACGAGGGTTCTGGGGTGTGCAATTATGAACGGAATGTCACGTGATATTTGATCTATCCGAACTCAGCAGTCGGAGTCTTGGAGCATGAGCAGGAGCATGAGCGTGAGCGCGAGCATGAATATGAGCATGAAGAAAGGCGCTGCGGTGTTGCCTCCGACTAAGTAAAGACTGTGCACGGAAGAGTTATGGCCATGTCCCAGGCGATCACGACAGCCCATGTTTGGCTCGCCGAATGACTGAGGTACTATGAGACCCGTGTCAAAGGCTATGATTCCTCCTGTGTGCCTCCGACATGTCCTTTTCCAGTACGTCGCAGTATGTTGCGGCTTGTCAGTACAAACCAACACGGATTCCATGGACCCAGATGCCAGAACGCCAGACTGAAAGCCACCAAATCTCATTCGACACCTGGGCTGGAGCTGGAGCTGGAGCTGGTGATCTCGGATCCAAAACGAATCAATGGCGTATACGGAGCAGACCAGACCTGCAGGTGATATATGAACGGCCAACGTGAAGTCGAAATTGAAGATGAAGTTGAAGATGAAGATGAAAAAAGACAGCAGCAGTGCGAGGATCGGACGTAGGCGTCGTTTACAACCCCTACAACTGCGCCGAACGCATGATCCGTCTACCTGTGTAGAATGAGGCGATTGTGAGGGACCGGGAATATGGTGGGTGGGTGTGAGAGGACGACGCGGAGGGAAGAATGTGAGGTAGTTAATGTCATTTTCGAAAACAGGTCTTTTCTGGCTGCGATGGACATTGAGCATCAGGTAGAGTAGGGCAGAGTAGGACAGAGCAGGGCAGGGCAGAGCAAGGCAGAGCAGGGCTGTTGTGGCTTGAATAAACACCTATATACGTATACGCATATACAATTTTACTGTACCCCGTACTTTATACGTGGTGTCGCACTCTAGCCGTGACTATACATATCCCTATATTGACCACCTCTCTTCTCGCCTCGTCGCTCCTCTTCTCTGGCATTCATTACTGGAGACGCGGGTTAGGGTAGGGAAGCGCTCTTTAGTCTGGTCGGATCTCGATAAGGCTGTGCAGTGCTCGATAGTATCATCGGCGCTGACGAGGGACGAGGTCTCTCACATATGTGGCCAAGACGCGCGCGCACCCCCCCCCCCCAACACACACACACACAATCCCCCCTTTCATTATACACATGGCGGCACTAAGAGCGCAATACAATGCAATGCAGTGCGACACGGGCTCAAATCGTCATATCATTCTAGCATGCGATGCGTTCTATGATCTCTAGACAAAACTCCAGCTCGATTGCTCGAGCAAGCCCACCACCCCTGGAAATGCAAAATGTGAGAGCCTTAGTAACTGACCACAGCGTCCGTGACGGGAGGCCTGTCGCTCGAGCCATGCAGATGGTCTTCCCAGGGAGGAAATGCCATGTTACTTCGTCAGAATTGGGGACTTGCGTCTCAGTTGGCCTTCACTTTCCCGTTGGCCACAATGCCGTTCCCCTCTAGAGTGCTCGTCCTGCTCAATGAGTGAGAGATGCTGGCTCGCCGCTTCCTCTCGCTCTTGGAGTTGACGAAAATCGCTCTCTCGGCCGCCTTCAACACCTCGTCAATGAGAATGACGGGCGCTGAGATCCAGAGCACCGCATACCACTCGTCCCAGCCCAGCGCCTCGATGGAGAACATGCTTCTCAGGATCGGGATGTACAAGATGGCGAAGTGAAGGATCATCGACAGGCAGATGGCGTAGATGAGTTTCATGTTCTTCCACAACGGCAATTGCAGGAGCGACTCGGACGACGAGAGGGCATTCATCGCGTTGAACATTTCTATCACCACCAGGATCGAAAGTGACACCGTCGATGCCGTCCGGGTCGGGACGGATGAGGCCGAGAAGATGGAGCAATCGACGCCGTCGAATAGAGGGTTGACAGGCGAGCATTTGTGGAAGTTGCGCAGTTGCGAGAAGCTGAGCTGGGGTCCTTGAGAGTAGAGCATGACGTACCATGCATATCCAAATACCGTCGCTGCGCCAACGTACGTGCCGACCACCATGTATCTGAAGAATAGCCATCCAGAGACAAGCGGCTCGTCGCGCTTTCTCGGAGTGCGCCGCATGACGTCGTGGTCGGGGGGGTTGAACGACAGCGCCGTTGCCGGAAGTCCATCTGTGACGAGATTCACCCAAAGGAGCTGGACGGGGATCAATGCCTCCGGGAGACCCAGAGCGGCGGTGAGAAAGATGGAGACGACTTCGCCGATGTTGGACGAGATGAGGTACCGGATGAATTGCTGGGTGTTACTGTAGATCGTTCGTCCTTCCTCGATGGCTAGTTCGATGGTGGCGAAGTTGTCGTCTGCCAGCACCATATCGGCAGCCAACTTGGCAACATCTGTGCCCGTGCCCATGGCAACGCCAATGTCAGACTTCTTCAGTGCCGGAGCATCGTTGACACCGTCGCCGGTCATGGCCACAACTTCACCAGCCTCTTGGAGCAAGTCGACGAGTTTCGATTTGTGGCTTGGTTCAACGCGGGAGAAGAGCGAAGCAGTCTTGGCCGCTTCCAACTTCTCGCTCTCGGACAGCGAGTCGAATTGGCGGCCCGTGTAGCTCTTTCCTGTGAGATCTTCGTCCGGGTAGAAGACGCCAATCTGTTTGCAGATTGTCTCGGCGGTATTCTGGTTGTCACCCGTGATCACAATCACTCGAATTCCTGCTTCTCGACATTTTCTGATCGAGTCGGCGACTTCAGGGCGAGGCGGATCGAGCATGCCGACGAGCCCAATCAGGGTCATCTTCTGTTCCAGCTGGAGATATTCCTTACTGCTCTTGGCGTTTTCGAGCAGTGTGTTACCGCTGACGTTCTCCACGCTTGCGAGGGCGAGAACCCGCAGACCGTGGCGGCCATAGTCGACCACTTCTTCGCCGATCAATCCGAGATGTTGCTTGGTAATGGGGACTCTCTTTCCACTTGACCCGAGGACCACATGCGAACAGCGCTCAATGATGGATTCTGGGGCTCCCTTGACGAGCAATTTCTGGCTTTCACCAGTTCCAGCCAAGACTGACATGCTCTTTCGGTCTCGCGAAAACTCATACATTGCCTGCAGGGGAAGCCGGTCTTCGTAGTACTTGCTGACAAAGTGCACTTTCTCGCCGCCCGCCAGACCATTGCGAGTTTGGTTCAACCCAACATCGTCGGTGCCAATCTTTTCGACCAGGACACGGAGAGCGCCTTCGGTTGGTTCGCCGACGATGCTGTAGGTATTCGACTTGGCGTCATATGACAGATGAGACTCATTGCACAGCGCCAGAACTTCGGACATTTGTCTGAGCGTCTCGGATCTTGCTGCTGCGTCCTTGAGAGCCTTGCCATTCTGAATCAGATCTCCTGTAGGAGAAAACGTGGTCCCTTTCACCTCGATCTCGTCCAGATCGGTACCGGCCTCGTTGAGATACACGATCTTCTCCACGCTCATCTGATTGGTGGTGAGCGTGCCGGTCTTGTCAGAGCAGATCACACTGCAGCTACCCAAGGTCTCCACGGAGGGTAGACTCCTTACGATAGCATTCTTGGCTGCCATTTTACGTGTCCCTAGCGCAAGGCAAGTGGTGATGACGACGGCGAGACCTTCTGGGATCGCCGCAACACCCAGTGAGACGGCGATTTTCAGGTAATAGATGGCGCCTTTGGCCCAGCTTCCACCATGCGACGGATCGTTGAAATGTTGAATGTTGATCAACCAGACCAGGATGCAGATGACCGTAATGACCTTTGCAAGAGTGTCGCCAAACTCATTGAGTTTCTCTTTGAGCGGTGTTGGCTCTGAGATTTGCGAGGCAATGCTCTCATGGATGTCGCCAATGGCCGTGGAACTGCCTGTGAGAACCACGATAGCAGTAGCGTGTCCAGCCACGACAGTCGTTCCGGAGAAGAGCATGTTGATCTGATCTTGCTTGACAGCTTGAGCATCCTTGATCGCCTTGCATTCTTTGCTCACACTCTCGCTCTCGCCCGTTAGGATGGCCTGGTCAACCGCGAAGCTGTTGCTCTGAATCGACAGCAGCCGGCAGTCCGCCGGTATACGGTCTCCAATAGCGACTGTAACAATGTCTCCCGGCACCAGCTCGTCTGCCTTGATTTTCTGGACCCGTCCATCTCGAATCACCTTGGCCTCGTTTGCGGAATACTCTTGCAAGGCTGCGATGGCCTTCTCGGCGCTGCTCTCTTGGGTAACACCGACGATCGCATTGAGAATGAGGATTGTCAGGATCTATCTCTCTGTCAGTGGTCGCCAGGAGACATGAACATGTTGGTGCGACGTACCACCACTGGATCCACGAACGCAGTCCAATCATCCGACTCTTCGAACAGGGCCAGGACGAAAGATATGGCAGCCGAACCCAGCAATATCAGAACCAACTGATCCTTGAATTGTTCAAGCACCAGCTGCCACAGGGGCGTCGGCGGGTCTTCAGGAAGAGCTGAGTATAACAGTCAGTGTCTTCGATCCGAACCTTTTTGCGCCTGCACTCACAGTTGCTCCCATATCTTGTTCTTGACTGCGCAACCTGCGCAGACGAGAGACCAGCTGTTTCAGTCACATGGAAGTGACTTAACACCTCTGAGGTCGAGCGCACATACGCTTGCTCCATGTTGGAATTGTCAAGAAGCGGGACGACTATGAGAGAGAAAGGAAATCCGGGATGCTGCGAGGCGAGCCGGATAGATCCATGCACCACGACGAGTCTTTAGTTTATTCCAATAGACGAGTTCCAGAAGTCGTATTGAAAACCTATTCTAATACTACAGCCCGGCAAAAGAGTGACTGGATTGCGCAGTGAAAGAACCTCGCTCATGCCCCACGTGCTTCGTGGAGAATTGGACACGGTGGACATAATCAGATCTGTGTTTATCGAAAATTCCAGATGGCGCCGAAGCGCAGCCGAGCCGGCGGCGTCAATTGGTCTTCAACCGACTGCGAGGACGCCGCAAGGCGCTACAGACTACAGGGTACTGCACACCGAGGAGCAATCTGATCA